CACCACGGTCCATTTTGCCGATTTTCCCAGCCGTTTTCGAGATATTTTCATGTGTAGTTTAATGAGAAAGTTATCCGCCATGACAGCATTTTGGCCCGCCATGTTGGTATTTTGGTTTATATTGACAGAACATTCTCTACTTTGACAGTCAACGTTTCTAAACGTAAACACAAATATGATCTGTCATAATCACATTCACCACTTCTAATGTACTTCAGAGAGCTTCTGACAGCGCCATCCATCCGAAGCGTTTGAAACATTAAAGGCTTTTGCTGATTTTTTCTGCCGCATTTTCATTCGAGCTATCGCCTTATGGGAAAAATACAAAAATGATTCGATTTGCTTCAAGATATGGGCCCATCGCATTCTCTTCACATTCCGAATGTCGCCATATGAAACATGATTTAGATGATTCATTAGTCCAATTAATTTTCGTTATTTGTAGGTTTATACTCACTGTGTAGTGTATGTGTGTGTTTGTGCAAGAGTGAAGCAGCAAGAGAAAAAGAAAGAGTGTGAGTTTTTCAAATGTTCATTTGCAAATTCATCTTTTTCTCGCCTTTCGAAATTATGCTTTTTCGTGTTTTCTTAAGGGTTTTTTTTTATTCCTTCAACAACTATGGCAATCTTTCACTTTGGCGTTGATTGGCATTGAACGGGTTCGTGTCGAAATGGAGCAAGGGGAAAAAGCACAATTCTATGTAATACACACGTATTTCAACACATTCAGTTACTCTTTCTTCACTCTTTTTGTTCCTTCGATCACTCTTTGTTTCTCTTCGCTCGCATCCGTTTCCATTCTCTTCCTACATTTAATTTTAGTCGTTTTTGCGCACATTTCGCCGTATATTTGTATTGCAATCAGTCTTTTGAAAGAGGAAAGAGGGAGAGTGAGAGAGAGAGAGAGTAGCAAAGTTTTTCTCCAGCACTCTAAGATTTCCATTGCCTCGATTGTTTGTCAGAGAATATGAATCATTGCTTTTACGTTTGCCTGCCCTTTTTAATAGAATAGAACTTTTATTTATTTTCGTATTTTCCATTTGTGCGTTCATTTACACTCACTTTACTGTTTCTGCCCGTGTAGTAACTTAATTGATCGACTAAGCATTTGTGGTTTGGCCTGAATCATTCTCGGCTTGAATGTCAATTAATTCTCACCAGAAAAGAAATTATGGTGTGGCAATTGCTGTTGCCGTTGCGCGTTTACTGTGCAAAAAACCGTTGTGTTAACGAGACAGAAATGGCAGAGAGGAGGAGTGCGAGCACTGAGACCGTGTCAAATGTTTACTTACCTGCATCTCAATATTTTTACAACATAATAAAAATAAACAGAGAAATATCACATCGATTTATCCGTAGAAAATATGTCGAATGGAACATGTATAGCGTGATGTGCGAACGAGCATCAGTGGAAAAGAACGAGAGAAAACAAAAATGAGTGAATGAGTGTGTGTTATCTGTAGAAAAGAGAGCCAAACAGAAAGAAAAACCATTACCAACAGCAATTCGGCACTGCTCATAAACAAGTGCAAATAAAATAAAAAAAAATCATATCTTTTTTCATGGGATGATTTGAAGTGTGAACCGATTTCGAGTGTTCGACTATATAGATGTTTTCCGACAAATTATTCACTCTGTTCGCCTTTTGCGATTGCTTAATGAAAATTTTATTCAGCAAATCACAAAATCATTTGCATAAGTAAATTTGAGTTGAGTCAAACTATAGTGTGTTGTGGCGTAGGGGCGTTAAAATGTCGGAAAAATATGGTGTATGAACGTGAATGGGAAGAGAGATAGAGAGAAAAAAAAAACAAATATATGTATATATATTGAGACAGGCGACTGAAATCGACGTTTTAAAATACACCGAATGAATAACAATCGTAGGATGTAACAGCGTTTTCATTGGGCCATACAGAATGAATTTTAATGAAAGCCAGTCACATCATCATGGCATTGTTCTCAGTCTATAAATGAAATCGATTGTAAATGAATATTGAAGAGTCTCTTTCTCC